TCCCTCTCTCTTTAAAAAAAAAAAAAAAAAAAAAGAATATTATGAGGGGCTGGGGATGTGGCTCAAGCAGTGGTGCGCTTGACTGGCATACGTGTGGCCTGGGTTCGATCCTCAGCATCACATACAAAAAACAAGGATGTTGTGTCCACCGAAGACTAAAAAATAAATATTAAAAAATACTCTCTCTCTTTAAAAAAAAATTTAAAAAGAATATTATGAAATAGCAGTTTTAAATACATTTAGTTTTATGTATATACACATGTATCATAAATAAGACACAGATTAAACTATTAATAGTAGCTGCCTCGGGAGTAAAAATGGGGGTGGGCAAAGAGGGAAATTTAATCTTTTACTCTAAAATATTTTATATTGTTAACTTTTTCATAATATTTTTATATTTTCCCTGTATAATAATAGAAAGCTTATATAATAAACCCTGTTAGGTTTATCAAGAATTATTCAGAATCACTTGATGACCTGATTTAATGAAAAAATAATAGTTCATACAGAACTTTAACTTATACAGCATATACTAAATGCCTGCCCCAGGCCCTAGGGATACAATGATTGGGAAACATAAGTATGAGGAGTAACAATTACACAAACACATAGTTTTAACTGTAGTTCTTGTTATGAAGAAGAAATAGAAGATGCTGTAAGAACCTGTTTTGTCAGGGAGGTCAGAGAAATGTTCTCGGTGAAATAAGGTCTGAAATATGAGTTAACTAGGTTTAGAAGATGGGGAATAATGTACACAAGTTGTGATTCCTTCCTGTTTAGCAGGAGGGGCTGGAGATGAGGCTCAGAGAAGTAGCTAGGAACCAGATAGTCAATGCCAGTTACTAGCTTTAATTTGTCCCGACACTGATTGGAATGATTTGAAAGGTGATTGGTTTTTTTTAGTTATTTGTTTTTTGATGTTGATTTGGGGGCAGTTTGTGTCACATCATATTGCATTTTGAAAAGATTGTTCTGGGTTTTTAGAGTGAAGAGTGGATTTTGAATTCCAATAACTCCAAGAAGAATACAAGGAGGACATTGCAATATCTAAGGAATAGTGGTAGCTGGGACCAGGATGGGCTAGGGAGAAATGAATGCATTGGGAAAATGTTTAGGAATCAACATTTAGGGCTTGGTGATGGATTTCTAGTTTTCTGGCCTACATAGCTAAGTGGACAATGTTACAAAACCAAGTTGGAGATGTAGCAGGCTTGTAGGGGGACAATGTGGTATAAAAATCATGAGTTAATCTAACTTCTCTTTGAAATATTCCAGATGAGATGTCAAGAATGTTTCTGTATTACAGGTGTTACATTAGAGATGTGCTCTGACCTGACGATATTAATTTGAGTTGTCAGCATAAAGCTTATCATTGAAATCCTGGATGTAAACTTTATGTCCTAGAAAAAGATTAGTGAGTGAGGAGAAGTCCTGAATCTAGAATGACTCCAACATTTAACAGCTAAGTAGAAAAGTGTGAACCAGCGAAAGAGATTGTCAATGAACAACAAGTAAAATAGTGAGAAAACAGAAAGTTACGTTGCAAAGCCAAGACTTTGTGCCAAATACTGCTAAGATGTTTAATAAGATGAGGATGTTTAGTAAGAAGACTGATTTTGTGACAGTGATCAGCAAATGAGAGCTTTTGAAAGGAGAGGAAAAATGCTGATGGTACTAATGGAGACTGTGAGGGAGAGACTCAATCTGTGATTTGGAAGTGAGAGACCAAGGAGGGTGAGGGTATGGGTGAGACAAGACTTTTTTTTTTTTTTTTTGGTACCAGGGATTGAACTCAGGGGCACTTGACCACTGAGCCACATCCCCAGCCATATTTTGTATTTTATTTAGAGACAGGATCTCACTGAGTTGCTTAGCGCCTCACCATTGCTAAGGCTGGCTTTGAACTCGCGATTCTCCTGTCTCAGGCTCCCAAGCTGCTAGAATTACAGCAAGACCAAACTTTTTAAAAAAAATATTTATTATTTTTTAGCTTAGTTAGACACATTATCTTTATTTCATTATTATGTGGTGCTGAGGATCGAACCCAGGGCCTCACATATGCTAGGCGAGCACTCTACCGCTGAGCCACAATCCCAGCCCCTAAGACAAGACTTTTTAATGAAAGAATCTTAAGTGTAATTATGGTAGTCACCCCCCTCTTTTAAAATATTTGTTTTAGTTATTGATAGACCTTTATTTTATTTATTTATATGTGGTGCTGAGAATCGAACCCAGTGCCTCACACATGCCGGGCAAGTGTGCTACCACTGAGCCCCATTTCAGTAGTCACCCCTTTTCTGTGGTTTCACTTTCTGCAATTTCAGTTACCCACAGTCAACCAAGGTCAGAATATATTAAGTGGAAAATTCTGGAAATAAACCATTTATAAGTTTTAAATTTCATACTACTTTGCATCTTCTTCTATCCCACCCAGGATGTGAATTGTCTCTTTGTCCAGTGTATCCACAATGTGTATACTACCTGCCTATTAGTTGCTTGGTAGCAGTTTCCATTATCAGATTGACTGTGATGGTATCACAGTGCTTATGTTCAAGAAATCTTTATTTTATTTGATAATGGCTCCATAGTGCAAGAGTAGGGATGCTGGCAATTTTATTATAATATATTGTTATAACTGTTCTATTTTATTATTAGTTATTATTGTTAATCTCTTATTGTGCCTAATTTACAAATTAAACTTTCTCAGAGGCTTATATGTATGGAAAAAATCATAGTACCTACAGGATTTGGTAAAATCTGCAATTCCAAGCATCCACTGGGAGTCTTGAAACATGTGCTTTGTGGGCAGGAGAAGACTGGTATAAGGAATGTTAAGTAGTGCAAGGTTCCCAAAAAGACCCGAGTGGCAGATAACCCTGAGTAGCAGTGGAGGGTTGGCTCTAGATTTGTAGACTTACGAATAAGTGCCTCTAAAGTTTGAGAGCATTTAATTCTCTTTGTGTAAGTGTGGTATACATACACAATGGAAAGAGAATAAAATTATGGCATTTGCAGGAGAATATCATGTTAAGCGAAGTAAACCAATTCCAAAAAACCAAAGGCCAAATGTTTTCTCTGAATGGGGGATGCTGATCCATAATGGGGTGGGAGGCGGCATGGGAAGAATGGAGGAACTTTGGATTGAGCAAAGGTAGGGCGGCGAGGGGAGAGGGTATGGGGGGGAGAGGGTATGGGGCAGGAAAGATTGTGGAATGAGATGGATATCATTACCCTATGTACATGCATTACCCTATGCACAAATGGTGCGACTTTACATCATATATAGAGAGTTGAAAAGTTGTGCTCCATTTGTGTACAGTGAATTGAAATACATTCTGTTGCATATATAACTAAGTAGAATAAATTTTAAAAATTCTCTTTTACCTTGTTTAGTATATGTCAGAGGTCATAGATCAAAGGCAGATTAACCTAAAGTTCTATCAAAATTATCATGAATTATAGTATAGTTTTACCATACCTAGAAAATTAATAGATTTTTCTCCCTTTTTTTTGGAGTGGTACTGTGGATTTAACTCAAGGGCACTCTACCACTGAGCTATACCCCCACTTTTTTTTTTTTTTTTAATTTTGAGACTGGGTCACACTAAGTTGATTAGACTGGCCTTGAAACTACAGTCTTCCTGCCTCAGCTTCCAGAGACACTGGGATTTTAAGCATGCGCCACTGTGCCTGCTCTTGCATGCTAGGCAAGTACTCTACCACTGAGCTATGTCTCCAGCCCTCTTTTTAGGGCCACCTTTTTTTTTTTTTTTTTGGTGGGTGTGTGTGGTGCTAGGTATTGAACCAAGGCCTTGTGCCTGTCAGACAAACACTGTACCAACTAAGCCGTATCTCCAGCCCCATCCAGCCCCTTTTTCAAATTTTATTTTGAGACAGGGTCTCCCTGAATTGCTGCAGCAGGCCTTGAACTTTTCAGTGCTCCTGCCTCAGCCTTGAAAGTAACTGGGATTACAGGCATGCACCACTGACTTCTTTGTTGCAGGTACCAAGGGCGTTATAGATGGTACTCAAGATGGGTTTAACCACAAAATCTTCAGATGTTCAAAGAAGCAAAAGGAACTATTGAAATTTCTCTTAAGAGTCTATATTAATATTGTTAGATACTACCAGAGTATCTCTTGTAAAAGGGTAAATATTTATATGCTCTTAAAAGAAACCAGAGTACAAGAATGCTCTCAGATAAATACATTTTTTCTAAATCAAAATGCAAGTATTTTTTCATAAACACCAAATGCAACCTATTCCTTGATTTAATTTTGATATTTTCATATTTTTAATGGATAAATTGACAGTGTGTTCACCGAGTGGTGAAATACCAGGAAAGTCTTTACTCCTGTGGTCAATTATTCTTTTAAATTATAATGAAACAAATTCCAGGTTTGGCATTTTATGATGCATGTTTCTGCTTACAATAAAATATAGTTGTTCACTTATGACACCCTAAAGAATAAGGATTCAGGGACTGGGGCTGTGGCTCAGAGGTAAAGCGCTCGCCTACCATGTGTGAGGCACCGGGTTCTATCCTCAGCACCACATAAAAATAAAAAAAAAAATAATAAAGATATTGTGTCCACCTATAACTAAAAAATAAATATTAAAAAAGAATAAGGATTCATTCATTTATTCTATAAATGTTTATTGAGTACCTACAATGTGCCAGGTGCTGTTTTATGTGCTGAGAATATAATAGATAAAAATCTCTGTTCTCTTGAAGCTTCCATCCTGTTGGGTTGGAATATCAAAAATGTAGCTTCAGGCTGGGGATGTGGCTCAAGCGGTAGCGCGCTCGCCTGGCGTGCCCGGGTTCGATCCTCAGCACCACATACCAACAAAGATGTTGTGTCCGCTGAGAACTAAAAAATAAATATTAAAAATTCTCTCTCTCTCTCTCTCTCTCTCTCTCTCTCTCTCTCCTCTCTCACTCTCTCTTTAAAAAAAATGTAGCTTCCATCATGAGTAATTATCTTCTACATTCTGCTTCATTCAAGAAATGGAAGACATCAAGAACACTATGTAGGGGCTGGGGTTGTGGCTTAGTGGTAGAACACTCGCCTAGCATGTGTGGGGTGCTTGGTTTGATCCTCAGCACCACATAAAAATAAAGGTATTGTGTCCAACTATAACTAAAACAAAACTTTTTTTGAGAAGAAAAACTATTTCTCTAGTCAGGTGGTGGCTGGGTTGCAGAGGGTCTTGGTTATTCACATTGGGTTCAGTTCCAACTTTGAGGTTACTCCTTCACAGTTTAAGATTTATTCCATCGTTTTGCTCAAAACAGGATATTCAGTATTCATCAAAACTGGCTGGTGTTCTTCCTATCCTCAAAGGAGTTTAAAATTCAATATTTTAGAGGTTGTTCTTGTGGTTGAACATGCTGTCGGAAAATATTTTTTAAAAAATTTCTTTTTTTTCTTCTTTTAATCTTAAGCTCCTGTGCCATGAATTTGATAGTGCCATAGAGATTATTTTAATCTCTTGTAGAAATAGGAAAAATAGACACTAATTACTTTGATTAAATGCATAAATCTCCACCTGTTGGCCCAAAATAGCAAATTGCAAGCTAAAAAAATGGAGCCCAAAGACCTGCTCTTCAAAAGTGAGACCAGTAGACAGGATCAGCTGGAAGTTTGTTAAATTGCAGAAGCTTGTGCATCACCACTAACCTAAATCAGAATTTGCATTTCAGTAAGATCCCAGGTAACATGTATACCTCCAAAGGCATACATGTTCAAGAAGCCTGTTTAAAGCAGCCAGTGGGCAAACCCAGACATTGCCTGTTTCTGAATAGCCAGAGAGATAAGAATGGCTATGTTATGACGTGGTTGAAAAGCAAAAGAAAAGAATATTTATTGACACAGTAAAATTATATGGAATTCTTATTTCAGTGTCCTTAAACATAGTTTTACAGGAATTCAGCTATTCACATTTTGTCTGTGACGACTTCTACTTAAACTGAAGAATAGCCATGACAGATATCATTTGACCCCAAAAGCTTAAAATATTTCCTCTCTGCCCCTTCATAGGAAAAAAAAAATTCTAAAGTGTACAAGAAATACATTCTTCATGAGTTGCTGATTATAATAATGTCTTAATGACTCTTCTTTGTATTAAGGTTGAATATATAAAGCAAAATTTGTATTTAAACATTAGGAAATGTAGAACTTTAACTTTGTTTTATAAATGAAATACTGACGAACTAAAGAGTTGTTTTTTTTTTTTTTTTAAATCAGGGATAAATTTATTGTTCTCCCCACAATTTCTCTTTTTTAGGAAATAAAAGGTACCATTGTTGTCACTTAGTATACTCTCATGCTTATATTGTTAAATAAGTTGAATGAAACTTTTTCTTCCCCTCCCTCAACATAATGATTATTTTACTCTTGATCTGAGAATTGGAACCTCCAGTTATCCTTATTGATCTTGTAGGTGGAAACCTGCTAATCTTGGTGGACCAGCATGCTGCCCATGAGCGCATCCGTTTGGAGCAGCTTATTACCAGTAAGGATCTCTTTGCAACTAGAAAAGATTTGAGATACCCCAGCAGAATTAGTATAGCTGAAAGTTTTTCTCAGTGGAACTGTTGTGAGGAAACATGCATTGTATGTTAGAAAAATGAAGCTGAAGTCCTTCACTTTGGTCTTTTTTATAACTGGAATGTAATAGTTTAGTTTATTAAGACTTACTTGGTCAAAGGCATATTTGCTATATGTTATTGTCCACCCAGCAGTACCTAAGGTCTGGGCTAATTTTGAGGGGGGTTGAACCCAGGGGGACTTTACTACTGAACTACATTTCCGGCCCTTTTTATTTTTTATTTTGAGACAGAGTCCTTTAAGTTGCAGAGGCTTGCCTGAACTTGTGATCCTCCTGCCTCAGCCTCTTGACCTGCTGGAGTTGTATGTCTCTAGGCTAATTTATTATGTCATTCAGCACCAAGATGTGCCTCTTTTCCCACATGATCTTAGTATACCTTCTTCAAGTTCAGCAGGCAGAGAACAGAAGCTCAGAAGGCCAAATATATTGTTTTTATTTTAAAATAAAATTTGTTATTTAATAGTTTAACCAAATTCAATTATAAAGGCATAAGAAGAAATATAATGTTTCCTTTATACCCTTGTCCCCATCCTAGCTCATTTCTCTTCCCCACAGGCAACCAAATATTAATAATTAATAATAAAATAATGTGTGTCTTTCCAAAGTCAACATATGCTTTTTAATTTTTGCTACATGTTTGTCTTCATGAGGCAGCATGTTCAACCAGGTGGTAAAATATCAGCAAAATCTTTACTCCTGTGGTCAAGTAATGAAAAACTTTAATATCAAAGAATTAGTGAAGAATCTAGGGAACTGTTTCGTAGGCTAGACTGGCAATGGTATTACTACTGTTTTCACTTTTTCTTATAAAATATTGGGAAAGATAAAATAAAAACCATATTAGAAAAACTTTTGCCATTTGAGAAGAAAGCTGATGGATTCTCTTCAGAGACTGGGAAACCCTTCTGATGCACAGAAGAGCCTTCTTGAGCTATAGGATGGCAAACCCATATATTTGCCCAGGAATCTACATTATGCAGCTCTGTTATTTAAATCACATTTACTGCCAGGTGTAGTGAAGCACCTATAATGCCAATGACTCATTAGGCTGAGGCAGGGGGGATCGAAAATTTGAGGACAGCCTCAGTAATTTAGTGAGGCTCTCAGCAATTTAGAGAGACCCTGATTCAAAAAATAAAAAGGATTAGGGATGTAGCTCTGTGGTAAAGTGCCCCTGAGTTCAATTCCTAGGAACAAAAACAAAAACACCCTCACATATATCATCTACAGGAACATTGAATTGTTTGTTTGAATGTGAAAATTAAATCTTATACTCCTTACTTTTGGAAAATACTACTCAAATGAGTAAACTGACTGTATATTTCCTAGTTTGACTTTAATAATGGAAATCCAAAGTCCTGAACTGAACATTGTAAACATATTACTAAGGACTAGAGCACTTATGTCATGGCTGTACCTTACCATGCTTCATTTTTATCTAAACATAGATTTCCCTTCTTACTCTTAATCCGTTTATTTTTCTTCTAATAGATTCCTATGAGAAGCAACAACCACATGGCTGTGGTCGAAAAAAATTACTATCTTCCACTATAATTCCTCCACTAGAGATAACAGTGACAGAGGCACAAAGGAGACTCCTATGGTTAGTATCACCATGAAGATGTGTTGTTGATAATATAAATTCTCACAATAATTCTGTGAGGTATTAAACATGACTATTGTTCCATGTTCAGAAGAGGAAACTGAGACCAAGAGAAGTTCACATGATGGCTTGTCCACGGTCATAACGATTATAAAGTGGCAGAGCAAGCATGGCAGTTCTGACTCCAGATGCCATTCTTTCCACTGTGTCACAGCTGTTGAGTATAGGATAGAGTTGCCCTTGTAATTTTTTCCAGGAGTTGGCTTAGAACAGTGTGTGTGCTCTGCTGTTTCTGAAGGCAAAGTAAGTGCAGTAATTGCTTCCATTCTGCTTTGTCTTGATTCATTCTAGATTTTTCATTACCATAATCATATTAGGAAGAAAGTAAAACACTGAGATGCAAGAAGGGAGAAATCATATAGTGAGTCACAAGATAGGACATTTCCCCGCTTTTGGACAGCACAAGTTGTTAAAAATGAAAAATATGATTGTCTATCAATTTAGTTCAAGTTTGGGAATCTGGTGCTGCCAATACATCTTTCTCCCTGGGCATAATTTATACTCAAGGCAGATTCCTTTATTTATGTCCCCTGTTAATCAGAACTTGTCATTTTCTGGCTGTTAATTACCCCCCCTGCTTTAATGCTGATTCAGAGCATTTTCAGACCTTATCTTGTGCCTTCAACAAGAAGTTAGCACTGTTCCCCAGTGAAGAATAAAAACTTAGGAACAAGATTTTGAGACAAATTGATTATCTTAGTGTCAAGGATATGTTCCAGGACCCCCAGTGGATTCTTGAAAACATGGATAGTACTGAACCTGCATATATTGTTTTTCCTATGTGCCCCAAAGCATGGCCATACATGTCAGAGTTAATCTATCTTTCCATATTTCATGCTCTAGTGTCTCCTTTGTTTGTATCATGACTATTGTGTTTTGGGGTCATTATTAAGTAAACTAGGGGCCACTTGGAACCAATAACAAAATCCCGAGACAGTTAATCTGATAACTGAGATGGCTGCTAAATGACTGTCAGGTGCGTGGTGCATACAGCACATGGATGTGTGGGACACAAGGATGATTTTGTGGGACAGCATGAGATCTTCCTATGCTACTGAGAATGGCATACAGTTTAAAACTTGTGCTGGAAAGGTAGTCAGTGATAGAGCACATGCTTAGCATGTGAAAAGCCCTAGGTGCAGCCCCCAGCACCTAAAAATTTTTTTAATTATTTTTTTTTGGAATTTTCCATTTAATATTTTTGTATCATGGCTGCCCACAAGTAACTGAAATCTTGGAAAGAGGAAATGTGGATAAGAAGGGAACTACTGTAGTTCAAATAGGAAATTTGAGAATAAAATCCCAAACAAACATATAAGTATGGGGAAAACAATATAGCTTTTAAAGCTTATGGCAATTTTTAAAAATATTTATTTATTTATTTTAAATTTTTTCGGCGGACACAACATCTTTGTTTGTATGTGGTGTTGAGGATCGAACCCGGGCCGCACGCATGCCAGGCGAGCACACTACCACTTGAGCCACATTCCCCAGCCCGCTTATGGCAATTTTTAAGAAACTATCAGGTACTTGGAACTAGAACTGAAATGTCAGTGAAGTAAAACGTTTACATTTGAGGCTATTTCTTTAGGTATTACCAAAAAAATCTGGAAGATCTGGGCCTTGAATTTATCTTTCCAGACACTAGTAATTCTCTGGTCCTTGTGGGAAAAGTACCACTCTGTTTTGTGGAAAGAGAAGCCAGTGAACTTCGAAGAGGAAGATCTACTGTGACCAAGAGTATTGTGGAGGTGAGACAGCTTCCATTGTTGAGGAGACTGCTGAGTGAAACCTCAAATTTTGTGGAGAATCTCTATATTTTTCGGTATTTTAACATGCATTTACTGAGTTTGCTAGCAGTTTGCAAGGTGCTAGAAATTCAAAGGTGCATTGGCTCAAAGTAAGGAGGAAGATTTAGATAATTATAGTACAATGAAATTTGGCTAGTAGAGATTTGTTCAAAAAGTGTTATGGAAGTACAAAATGATTACCGTGCCCAGGGAGGGGAAGTGAAGGAAATTGCCACAAAAAGTCTGTTTTGTTTTCTTTCCTCCCTCTTCCTTCCTTCTTTTCTTCCTTTTCTTTCTTTCTGTTTTTTTTTTTTTAAACAATGGATTGAACCCAGAGGTGCTTAACCATTGAGCCACATCTCTAGCCCTTTGTTGTTTTTTATTTGAGACAGAGACTTGCTAAGTTACTTAGGGCCTTGCTGAATTGCTGAGGCTGACCTCAAACTTGTGATCCTCCTGCTTCAGCCTTCTGAGTCACTGGAATTATAGGTATTTGCTACCACACCTGGCAAAATACAGTTTTCTTAAGAAAGGTTTTGTAGAAAGATAGAATCTTCCAGATACAGAAGAGGAGAGAAAAGCATTCTTGACAGAGAACCAATGTCAAAGACTTAAAACAGATCTATATGGGCGGAACTATTAACAGATATAGCTCCAATTAAGATATATATGGGGGAGTGTTAGGAGTAGATGAAGGTAGGTAGGTTACCAAGATGAATCATAAAGGAATTTAGCTTTTTATATGGGTACTTGTGTTTCATCCTCTGGTCAGCCGATGAGGAATTTTAAGCAGTAGAGTTAAATACATTTGAACCAGGCACAGTGGCACACATCTTTAATGCCTGCTGCTTGTGAAGCTGAGGCACCAGGATCACGAGTTCAAGGCCAGCTTGAGCAATTTAGCAAGACTCTTTCAAAATAAAAAGGGCCAGGAATGTAGCTCAGTAATAGAGCACTTGCATAATGTGTGTGAGACCTTTCCAGTACTGCAGAGGAAAAAAAAAAATAAAAGATATATTTGAGGTGGGCATGGTGGCATATACCTGTAATCCTAGTGGCATGGGAGGTTTAGACAAGAGGATTGTGAATTCAAAGCCAGCCTCAGCAAAAAGCAAGGTGTTAAGCAACTGAGTGAGACCCTGTCTCTAAATAAATATAAAATAGGACTGAGGATGTAGTTCAGTGGTCAAGTGCCCCTGATTTCAATCCCCAGTACCAAAAAAAAAGATACATTTGAGATTGTATTTTTAAATATGGTTACTCTATTTATATGTTTTAGCAGAGGTTCAGAAGCCACAGCTGGAATGTGGCCCTGGAGGTGTTAGGAAGGACCATTACTTCTTACTTTATTTTATTGTTTTTACAACAAATATAATTTATTTTGTTTTGTTGCTTCCCCAGCCATCTTGTTTTCCATTATAGCTTTCCCTTTTTTCTCTACTGATTTAGAAGTTAGATGATCCATTCATATCCTTTTAGAGACTAGTCTTGAATTTTTACATGCATAGTTAGCAAATTTTAAAGGTAATTTTTTCTCTGTCCTCTTCTTAAACTGTGTATAAACATTCCCTTTATCTTCCATCATTCCCTTCTCATCTTCCATGTTTTTGTTTAATATTTTATTTCCACCTTGTTTTTAAGACTTAAATGATCATGAATTCTATAACACTGAAATTAACCAAAATATTTATCAGAGTCTTTGCTTGCTGTTGCCTCCTATATCCTACTTATTCCTTCTGAGTGGTTTTCTTTTTACCAAAATAAATCTTTTAAAAGTTATTTTGTTAAGAATCCATGAATTATAAGCTGTCTTTGAAAATTCTTTATTTTGCTTTCATACTTGCGAGATTGCCTAGCTGAAAATATCACCATTTATCCTTTAATATTTTGGAAATATTCCATTACTTTTGACTTTCTTTTTTTTTTTTTTTTTGCTGCTGAAATTCAGTCAGTCTAATTATCACTACTCTGTGGGTAATCTGATTTCCCCCTGGTTGCTTCTTAGATTTTCTTTTATATGGTGCTGAGGATGGAATCCAGTTCCTCATGTGTGCTAGGCGAGCGCTCTACCACTGAGCCACAACCCCAGCCCCGCTTTTGGATTTTTGTATTTATCTTTGGTGTTTTGCAGTTTCATTATGATGTATTAGTATAGATTTGAGATTCATCTGCTTCTTCAGTGTGGAAAGTGTACATCATTGTTGCTTCCAGTATTGCTGCTCCGCACCCCTTGCCCCCACTCCTGTAAGAAATCTGCTGGATCTTATCTGTGTAGTCTCCATGTTTCAGACTCTTTCACATTTCCCATTGCTTTATCTCTAGTACATTCTGGGAAATTTCCTTGTATGTCTTCCAGTGAACTAAAGTCTGTCTTCATTTGCTTTTAATTATATATTTATACACTGAGTCTTTTTACTTCAACTACTATTTTTTTTTTTTATTTCCAGAAGTTTTGTTTGGTTCTTTTTTCAAATCTGCTAGTTATTTTTTCCTTATGATTTTCTGTTCCTTTTTCTCTAGCACTTTCTATTTGGAGCACAGGCAAATCAGTCCATTTGCCTAGTAATCTGAGTGACTTCACTGATCTCTAAAATAAAAAGTAGAAGATAGATTTAGTGGCTAAGTTCTGTGATAGGTTGATCTGGAGGAGATCTGAGGCAGTGAGAGCCATTGAGGGGCGATTGCACTTGGTCAAATAGGAGAGGATGAGGATTTGACTAAGTCAGCCAATGGAAAGGAGGGACATATTTGAGAGACCTAATTTGGTAGGTAGAATCAATAAGACCTGGTGATGAAGGAGAAAACATATTACCAGGGATTCCAAGGGTTCTAACCTGGGGACAGAAGGATGGAGGTGTTATTAACAGACACAGGAATAGAGAAGGGAAGCACATCTGGCTAGGAGTTGGATTATGATCTTGGTGTGGACACACTGAATGTGACCTCAGGGGACACCCAGCGGGTGGGCTGACCTACAGAGCTAGCACTTGGAAGAGAAATCTGGGCTGTAGTCAAGAGCTTGTACATTTTGGCAATATCAGAGACTGGAGAAGGGTCTAGAGAAAGGAAGTGATTGTCCAGGGAGAACTGGAAGAGCAAAAAATGGAGAGAGCAAAAGGAACACCAGCATCACAGTGTGTATGTTTGGCAAGGGTCTGGAAAGTGATTGCTGAAAAGAGATGGATGAAAATGATTAAGGAAGGAAGAAATCCAGAAAAAGTAACATTGCCAAAATGAAGAGAAGTTGTAAGCAACTTCTATAAAACAAAGCCTGAGAAGTTGGGTTTAGCTGACTTGAGGACAGTGGTCATCTTGTAGAATCCCCTCTTGAGAATGAAGTGGGGCAGAAGACAGAATGGGGGACAGGAGTGAACAAAAGGAAAGAAATGAGGCAGGTAGACTATTCTTCCATCAGCTTTGGCTAGACAGACAAAGAGAGATGTGGGACAACTAACCATTAGGGAAGGTCAAGAAGTGGAGGGCAGGACAGAGGGCTGAGGAAGGAGTTTTGTTTAAGATGGGAGAGACACAAGTGTGATTTAGGCTACAGGTGAGAGGACGTACAAGAGCAAGAGGCAATTTGTGGACTATCTGGATCCTACCCTTCCCACAGTTGCCTTTTGATCTGGCAAACTTTGCTTTGCTCTCAGCAGACCTCTTTTCTCCACAGAGCTCATTTCCAAATTGTCTTAAATCCAAAAGATAGGATCTGTTAGAATCTTGTATTGTACTTCAACCCCTAAAAATGTAACTGGAAAATTATAATAAAAACTTTTCCTAGAGCGACTTCAAAGACTACTTTTACAGAGTTTACTTCAAATTGAAACAAAGCTTACAGTTTCAGATAATCAAGATTTTCTGAAATCTGATCAGACTGATCAAGCGAGATTTTGTTGATTCTGGAAGAAGCTGGAACAGTTTGGTGTTTTGAGGTGGTAACTCTTTGAATCCTAGCAGTTGAAAGAACATTTAATACGTTCTATAACACTCTGTATTCCAGTCTGCTGAATGAGCTTTTAAACATTATTTAAATTATACAGTATTACTTGAACCATTGAAATGGGAAATAAGCTGAGAATTAGACCCTTCTTCCCCTCATCAGACTTACAAATTGATGTTTTATAGACTCAGATATACATACACAAAAGAGAACAGTAAAGAAATTAGGTTTGATTTCCATCCATACCAAGCTTTGTTAGTAAATGGGTGTTTCATCTTTCTATTTAGATTTGTTTGGGAAAATATGTGGTTCATATATAGTATTTATCATGTGGCTCTTGGTAACAGTGCTCATTTATAAATTTGGTCAACTAGAATATATAGGAAAGAGAGAAGAAAGTGTTCTGAGTTTGATTTAAAAAGAAAATCACCCTGTTGTAATCTTAGGAAGATGATTTTTACATTGCCATTTCCATGAGTAAAGAAATCTAGTTTTCTTATAAAGAAATCATTAAATGTGCTGAATCTCCCAACAATTTTCTTTCCTCGAGAGGTTAAACAAATTGGTACCATTAAATAATGCTGGGTTTGAATTTCTTTAAAGTTCTTTTGTAGTATGTATGGATACTTAATTGTTGAAAAGGTCACCCCAAGGGCAGAGATATCCAGGAGAGGAGAAACTTCTTTAGAAAAAGAGCTTGTTGACATGAAGGGAATTGTTCCCAAAAAAGACTGCGGGAAGTAAATTTATTTCTGCTTGTAATATCTAAATAAGTGACAGTGCACAGTGTGTTGATGATTTTTGTATATTTATTCTCATCTTGTGTGTAACATTACACTTGTTGTGGCCAAGATTACACATACAAATAGACAGTCTTACAACAAAATAAATCTGTACCTAAGTGCTGTATTGCTGGAACTCTCTTCTTCAGAAGGCATGTCTTAAAGGAGAAAATTGGGATAACCTGTAAATACTGAAGGGCTGGTACAATATAACAGTGGACTAATGCCTGGTTTCCTTTTTTGATTTGTAGGAATTTGTTCAAGAACAAGTGGAGGTAAGCTTTTCTCTCGAGGTTTCACACAGAGTGCCACACATAAAAGGCTTCATTGTCTCATTTCCTTCTCATATAATAATATAGCTGCGGGCTGGGGATGTGGCTCAAGGGTAGCGCGCTCGCCTGGCATGCGTGCGGCCCGGGTTTGGCCCGGGTTCGATCTTTAGCACCACATACAAAGAAAGATGTTGTGTCTGCCGAAAACTAATAAATATTTAAAATTCTCTCACTCTCTCTCCCTCTTAAAAAAAAAAAAAACAAAAAAACATAGCTGCTCCAGGCCACAGGAAGCATCCAGGGGACTTTGCCACTGACCGTCCAGAAGGTGTTGGCCTCCCAAGCCTGCCATGGTAAGAGCCTCAACAGCCAGTTGTGGAGTCATCCAGGTGCTGAGCACTAGCCTCAGTGCAGTGACTGAGAAAGAAGTAGATGAATGTTTCTGCTTCTCCCCAGAGAGTATGATTTAGATTTTAAAAAGAAAGAAAAACTGAGTGCACAAAAGCAAAGCCTAAAAAATTTTACAAAGTATGATGCCAACACTGACTTTCGTGAGCAGAGGAGTGACTTCTTTTAAATGAATGCATTACAATTATGCATAACAGTGGGATTTGTTGTTACATATTTGCACATGTGCTGGAGGAGTGACTGTTAGAGGAAGCACAAATGGAGCTGAGTTTTGAATGAGCAGAGGGTGATGGATTCTGTTCATCTCCTGGAAGGGGGAGTTTACCACAGGGAGAGGAAGCAGGCTGTGCAAAGAACACCAAGAAATTGGGTTGGTAAGAGAGAGCAGAAGCCTAGGACACAGCAACCCCTTTAGACTTGATACAGAAGGCATTAGAGGCACATTAGAGGGTTCTTCAGTCAAAGATAATGAAATGTGGAATGGTATTGGAGATACTTACTTTAGGGATCATGACAACTACAGAATCTCCTGTGACTATCATTTGACCGCAGTGAAGTCTCCAATCCACTGACCCTTTTATCCCTGTCCATCAGTCTTCTCTCTTCACCTCCTGTGATCCATCATTAATCTACCTCCTATAAATATCCTCCAGTCTTTTGCTCCTTTATCTTATCCTTATTCCTCATAGCTACTCGATAATCAAATATCATTATTGCTATCTTCAAAACGTAACCTAAATCTGTCTCATTTGATCTGACTTCACTGTCCACCCTTCACTCCCTCGTTATTGCCCCTATTTGGGGTGGTGTGTACAGGGGACTGAACCCAGAGGCACTCTGCCACTGAGCTACTTCCCCAGCCGTTTTTGAGACAGGATTTTGCTAAGTTGCCCAGGCTGGCCTTGAACTTGTCGTCCTCCCTTGTCTCTAGGATCACAGGCATATACCACTTTTCAATGCTCTTGGTTCTCCACATCCAACTCTGGCTCTGCTTCAAGCTATTAATGCCCAGAGGAATCTTTTCAAAAGCATCCCTCTAAGTATGCCATTCTTCTAATTAAAATATGATAATGACTACCCATTGCTCTTAGTATAAAAAGTTTATTCTTTACTAAGGGTTTTCATAATCTGACCCCTGTCTACCTATTTAGTATCATCTTACATCACTGGGCTCCCCTTGATCTTTACATTTCAGGCTGTTCCTTAGATTTTGTTCTTCCTGTGTGCTAAACCTCTGTCAGTCTCAGGGCCTTTGCACTTGCCTTTCCTCTGCCTGGAACCTCTTCTGCCCCTTCTTCAATCAGTTGTCTTTCTTAGTCCAAGGTCTCAGTTTAAATATCATTTTGACAAGGCAGCCTTCCCTGACTTCCTAAACTAGATTTGGTCTTCCTGTTATATACTTATATTCTATATTTTATAGTACTTAAATTATTGTGTAATTATTAATTTAATATTCATCTCATGTATTGGCCATAAACGGCCCCAAAAGACTCCTAATGCATGGTATATACTTAATAAATTTTGGGGTAAGGGCGGGGCACCAGAGATTGAACTCAGGGGCATTGGACTACTGAACCACATCCCCAGCCCTATTTTGTATTTTATTTAGAGACAGGGTCTCATTGAGTTGCTTAGTGCCTCACCGTTGCTGAGGCTGGCTTTGAACTCACAATCCTCCTATTTTAGCCTCCCAAGCCACTGGGATTACAGGCATGTACCATTGCACCCAGCTTAATAAATATTTTTGACATTGAATTAATATAGGAACAAATGGTGGGTTCTAATAATATGAGGGTTTATATTAGGAAGATTATTACAGAAATTAGAAAAAAGGAACAAATAAAACTGGGCATTGAAAGAAAACAGTCGGAGATGGCTGTTGGATAACCCTTGCACACAAGGTAACTTCAACTCCACAAACTCATAAGTAGGAAAAAATACTTCTTTTAGAAAAACCCTGAAAACAAAATCCTAACAAGGTAAGAAATGCCTCCTATAGGAATTAGACAAACAATCCATAAGGAAAAGCTGACGGACAGGTCAGTCAGTCCTGAAGCTGTAAAGTTTCATCCCTGGCAGTTAGTGCCAATTCCAAGCAGTATGAAAGCCACATTAAAGAAGTCTAGGAAATGTTACTTTTTACAGATATTTGGCTCTGACCCAGGGTCAACATTGGTTTCCATGTACACTGTAACCTTCTGGTTTCTTTTTTGTTTAGGGGCCATCAAATTTAATGACAGCCTGAGCCTAGAAGAGAGCTATCGGCTTATTGAAGCTCTGTCATGGTGCCAGCTGCCATTCCAGTGTGCTCACGGGAGACCTTCAATGCTGCCACTAGCTGACCTAGACCACTTGGAGCAGGAGAAACAGGTATACTAATGATTAGGAGGAGCAGGAAGGAGAGTTTGTCTTTATTTTCCAGGTCCTGCTATCCAAGTGCAATCAGTTTTAATCCTTTCCAAAATGTGAGAGCTTGGAAAAACAAGCATTGGAGGTTTCATTTAAAGCCTTGCTCATTTCATCTTCCAGCTCAAATTCAAAATGGAACTTAGACTAAACTGTTAGATTATCTACATGATGGCTTTGTATTTTTAAGCTTAACTTCTATATAGATTTGTGTATCTTGAAATATGTTACCTAATGGCTCTAGGTTTGATAAGATGCAGAGATTCTTCTTGAGGTAGAGAAGGTTGGTAGAAATACAGAAAGTTCACTATTGGTAGAATATAGCCGCAATATCCAGTTTCTTGATAGTATGTGCTAGAAATGGTGACCTGTGACTGTGGCTAGCCACTTCCAATGATGTCTTTTTTTTTAAATATTTTTTTTAGATGTATAGACCTTTATTTTATTCATTTACTTATATGTGGTGCTGGGAATCAAACCCAGTGCCTCACACATGCTAGGCAAGCGTTCTACCACTGAGCCACAGCCTCAGCCCCAGCCCCTCCAATGATGTCTTGAGTTGTGGCTGAGGATCATTATCAGGCTGGGAATGAGGCTTTAGGAGATCTCTACATTGCTGTGACCCTGGCTACCTAGCAGCCATGGAAAATGGTGTGGATAATGCAATCAAGGCACAGAGTGGCATAAATTAAGAACATTTTCTATCTTCTTCCCCAGCACTGGGGATTGAATTCAGGGGAACTGAGCTATATTCCCAGCCCTGTTTTTTAAATTATTGTTTTATTTTGGACAGAGTCTCAATAAGTTGCCAAAGCTGTCCTGAAACTTAGGATCCTCCTGCCTCAGCCCCTGGGATTACAGTTGTGCATCAGGGCACTTAGCTCTATTCTTGTTATAATCTTTTTTTAAATTATTTTTTTATTTTTTTAGTTGTTGATGGACACAATACCTTGCTTTGTTTATTTATTTTTATGTGGTGCTGAGGATCAAACCAAGTGCCTTACATGTGCAAGGCAAGTGCTCTACTGCTGAGCCACAACCCCAGCCCCACTTATTTATTTATTTATTTTGGTGCTGAGGATAGAACCCAGGACCTTGTGCATGCAAGGCAAGCATTCTACCAACTGAGCTCTATATCCCAGCCTCTTATTATAATCTTAAATGAAAAATAGAACACGAGCAAATAGTTATGTCCATGTTGCTGCTTTTCAAAATCTTTTGTTTATTTTTCCTGCTAAAGGTTATAAAGGCTCTTCTTTTTTTCCTGACTCAGCCAGTTGATTTTACTCTTTGTTTCATATAATAAAGAAAAATGAAAAAAATTTTTGTCCCCATTGGTGAAGAGATAAGAATCTAGATTTAAAGTTTGCAGTCCCAATATCCTATGGAACTCTATAATCTTTGTCCGGAAACTAGAATTCTAAACAGATTTGAAGAACTGTAATTTTCAAATACTTTCATGCTACCAGACTTTTCATATTGCTAATTGGAATTATTCTTTGTTCCACAGGTTAAACCCAATCTTGCTAATCTTCGGAAAAGGGCTGAGGCGTGGCGTCTCTTTGGAAAAGCAAAAGGCTGTGATGCAAGGCAAAGCCTGCAGTCTGTGTCTTCTTGTGAGCCCCCTTGAGAATGAACCTTTGGATCCATGAGGAACCCAAGGGCTTAAAGGATGCTAACTGCCTCTGAGCAGAGAGCATGAGCCATAGTTAGCAGTGCAGCCGTGGCTGAGTCCCCCTGGTGCCTGGAGAGGGCCCTCACATCAGTCCTGTGGTGCAGGTGGGCCCTCTGGCTGAAGAGTCAGATGGAATCAAGCCTAAAAACAGTTCATTGATTTGCATCCAGGCACAGTACTGTTTGTAACTTACTTAAGTGATGAAATTTAATGATTAATTATTTGACTGGTGAGTTAGCTTGTGTTTGAGAGGTATGGTTTTTCTTTTTGTGTAATTTATTTTCAGTCTCCAAATATACATTTATGAAATTGAGCTGATGCTAAACCCCTTCAGCTAGTCCTACTCGGCCTTCCTCCACTGCCCCCTGGTTTCTCCGTTAGTCCCTCCTTTCCTTCAGTCTTCACTTCCCTTCGCTGCTTTTTAATATTCTAAATCAGAGATTTACAGTTTCTCTACTCTCAGTAAATCCCTTCCTGAAGTCATCCATCAGAACTATAGTCAAGGGCTGGGGATGTAGCTCAGGGGAAGGTGCTTGCTTAGCATGTGTAAGGCCCTGGTTTCAATCCCTAGTATGGCAAAACAGGCAAAAAAAAAAAAAAAGGAGCTTTTAATAAAATTATTTTATGGATTAAAAAACTATTAATAAAGAGAAACATGGACAAAGAATAGAGAAAAATTTGAAGTTCTGTTCCTGGTTTTTTGTTAGTTTTTTTTATTGCATTTTGAGAACTCAGAGAATGTTCATATTCTAAACCAGTAACATGGTAAAAATGCTATGAGCTTGTTTTTTAAAATATAATTTTTCTGTGCTTCATAAAGTGTTTCTTTATGTGAAAGCAATTGTTATATCAAATGCAGTATGTATTCTTTCAATCTTACATGACATAGTCCACACTTTTTTTCCTCAGGAGACAAGGGTTCTTTTGATCCCTTTTAAATTGTGTCTTGGTTTTATTATTATGCCTATCCAATGGCCTTATGATTTCACTTGGGACTAAAACTAATCTTTCTACAAATGCTTGTTATTCCACTCTTAAATTTGTATTTCCTCCACCCTTTCAGGTGACTTGATTTGTGGTTAATAGGACTCAACTAGTAAAAAAAGCAAAAAACTAGCTGGATAGAGTTTATTGCATCTGGGACACTGTACAATTAGTAAGATGTTGCAACAAGGATTTTCCCTTCAGTATTTCCTGAGCATCCTGCTCAAATTGACCTATATCAATGAAATAATTTTTCTCATTTTTTAATGTAGTAAACAAATGTGTGTTCATGGAAGAAAGTTTATTTTGCCAACAACACTAGGGTGAATCCTGGTAATGAAAGTATTGCCTTCATTGGCTTGGGCCTCAAGCAGGTGCAAGGAAGCTTTTATTCATTTTCAAGGGGATCCTTATAGAGTTATATAATTGGAAACCCTGAAGAATGGGCACTACTGTCTACAAATGGCCTTCATTGTACTGTAAAAGAGGGGGTTTCATAAAATTAGAACTATGACCTTAGAAAGGAGGGTATTTCGGAGGACTTGCAAGGCTGTAGGTCCAGAGGGGAGACATGGCCTTGAGCTTCAACCTCACTTACCAGAACGGTGTGAAGACCACCTGTCCCAAGAATTTGAAAAATCTTTTTAGGTCAAAGCAATTTGTGAGATTGAAAAACTGTTACCTCTTATTATTTTGTTGGGGGGGTGGGTACCGGGGATTAAACTCAGAGGCACTCACCCACTGAGCCACATTCCCTATTTTGTATTTTATTTAGAGACAGGGTCTCACTGAGTTGTTTAGCGCCTCACTTTTGCTGAGGCTGGCTTTGAACCTGGAATCCTCCTGTCTCGGCCCGCCAAGCCACTGGGATTACAGATGTGCCCCACTGTGCCCAGCAATTACCTCTAATTAAGATTATGAGGGAGGCATTCAGAAGGTTTTGCTGTATGTTTCTTAATAGTAGCAGAGGATTAGAAAAAGTTCTCTATAAACTATGTAACTAGTCTTCCTGGCTAGCCTGACTCGAGCAATATAAGAGATACCCTATTTTAATTTATAAACTCAGTAGCATGCATCAGCATAAAAACAGCCTATTAACTAAAAATATCTAATTATTTATTTTATATTAGGATTAGAACCCAGGGCCTCACACCTGTAGGCAAACACTCTACTACCAATTCACATCCTCAGCCCTTTTTATTTGTTAAAACAGGGTCTCAGTAAGTTACTCCGGCTGACCTTAAACTTGGGATCATCCTGCCTGGGATTTTAGGGCACCACCATTCCAATAAATTATTTTTATTGCCTGTTGGGTTTTATTTTTTTCTATTTTGTTTTAATTCAAATGCCAAAGGAACAGAGATGCATTAAATTTTCTAACACATGATAGTAACTATGGTACTTAAGGTTTATAAAATAACTTTTCATATACTTAATCTCATTTGAATTTATTGATAACCTTTGAGATAAGGTAGTATTATTCTTTCCATTTTACAGAGGGGGATTTGTCTAAGATCACACAGCTAGTAAATGAGAAAGCCAAAAAGAGGCATCCCAGTTTTCTGACCTTAGTAACAATAAGAACAATAGTTAGCATTTACTGGGACTTGCATACTTAGTGCTTTGTATATACTACTTTTTTCTTTTCTTTTTTTGTGTATGTAGTGCTGGGAGTTGAACCCAGGGCCCCAGGCACACTGTGTGTGCTACTAATGAGCTACACCTCCAGCCTTGCATACACTATTTCTAATGCTTACCACAGTCCTCTTGAAGACTATTCTCCCATCTTTATAGCAAAATTCGGAGGCTCAAAGACATTGACCAGTTTGCTAAGGACTTAGCTAAGTAAAAAAGCCAAAGTGCAGACCCAGGCCTGTGTGACTTCAAATTACAAACTCCCACCCATTATTACCCCATGGTGTCCCCATGCAATGCATTTTTAATTTATTAAAAATAAATTAAATTAGGGGCTGGGGTTATGGCTCAGCATTAGAGCACTCGCCTCGCACCTGCAAGGCCCTGGGTTCAATCCTCAGCACCACAAGTAAATAAATAAAATAATTTGTTAAAAAAAAAGAATTCATTAGGTCTGGGGTTGTAGCTCATTGGTAGAGCACTTGCCTAGCACATGTGAGGCACTGGATTCAATCCTTAACACCACATAAAAATAGGTAAATAAAATAAAGGTATCGTGCCCATCTACAACTAAAAATTTAAAAAAAAAGAATTCATTAATTTGTTGACTTAGTGGTTTGACTTTAGATTATATTCTGGTTGGTAGAGGCATTAGTAACTTCAGAGTAAAACTTGAGAGAAGAGGTGTGAAATGTGGCCATTATTGAAAGTTCCTTTTTCGGTAATGTTCATCAAAATTTATTGAGAAATAAAGGTGCATGTGGCTGTCTCTGCCTTCAAGAATCTTAGCTTTAGTCAGAGAGATAGAAGGAAACTCAGGATGAAATATGGTGACTTCCTCCAGATTTAGGTATCACAGCTAGCTCTTTGTTATTGGGACAGAAGACTGTAGCTGGCTACAGGAGCTAGTATCAGAACCCTTTAAAGGAGGCTAGAATGTGGAGAATGGGAGGGATCAGGCAAGGATAGAACTGAGCTCAGGTCTGGAGCTCAAGGAGCAGCAAGAGTGGAGAGGCTCTAGCAAGTGGACATCACTTGATAAAACCAAGGCAAACAAAAAGGGAGCCCAAGTTCAAGTTCTAGAGATATATGCCAGTTGAGGAAGCCAAACCAAGAAGAGCAGATGTGGTTGGGCATCCCCTAGAGAGTCCAGAACAGTGCAACAAAACTTCCAGTGCTGGCCTGCTCAACTCACTGAATAGAGGAAGAGCAGTTTCTGGCACAAAGAACCATATTCTCACTGCCTGCTTTCCACCTGAAGTGCCACCCATCTCATCAAACACTTAACCAATGCAGGCTCACAGAGAGAACTCATGGGCATGTGTTTGCCACCATATTTCATGCCTATTTTCACCCTATTTTTTTTTTAAAGAGAGAGAGAGAAAGAGAGAGAGAAAATTTTTTTTAATATTTATTTTTTAGTTCTCGGCGGGCACAACATCTTTGTTGGTATGTGGTGCTTGAGGATCGAACCTGGGCCGCACGCATGCCAGGCGAGCGCGCTACCGCTTGAGCCACATCCCCAGCCCTTTTTTGGCAGACTTGCTCATCAATAGTGAGATAGCAAAGAGGTGGAGCTAGAGAGGAAAAGAAGGAAGTCTGAGAAAATCAAATGCACATAATCTGCACCTTACCCTTCTTTCCTTCTACCCCTCTTTTTATTCATTGGTTCATCATTTAGCAAAGAAGTAGTAAGTCACTCCAAAGTGTATTGCTTCAGAAGTCATAGGGCATTTAAAGAAGAGGTTACAAGGAGCTGCAATTGTAGCTCAGTGGTAAGAGTGCTTGCCTAGCATTTGTGAGGCACTGGGTTCGATTCTCAGCACCACATACAAATAAATGAACAAAATAAAGGTCCATCAATGTCTAAAAAATATTAAATGGAGAAAAAAAAGAGGTTATGATTTAGGGTTTTTCTAACCTATTTTTTCTTTTGTTTTTAAAGAGAGAGATAATTTTTAAAATTTATTTTTTAGTTTTCGGCGGACACAACATCTTTGTATGTGGTGCTGAGGATTGAACCCGGGCTGCACGCATGCCAGGCAAGCACGCTACCACCGCCTGAGCCACATCCCCAGCCCTTTTCTAACCTTCTTGATCCCATGCCCATTTGTTACAGTGTACTCAGTCTCATCCAGAGACCTCTCCTGAAGTTCAGGTGACCTAATCATCGATGTGGGATCTAAGTGTCTTACCTGTGAACAAACTGAGCCAGTGAGCTAGTGTGACTTGAACAGCAATCTGAAGAAAGGAGACTTGGCTACCTTGCCTGACCTTGGCCTTGCAACATGCTGTTTACTATAAAGACAAGAAATGGCCAGTGATGCCCCTCTCTCCTGCCCCCCAAAAGCAATTTGGAGTTAGCTCTGATGTTCAGAAGATTGTTGTTAATCAACATTGCAGTAGCTTTCTTTTAATTGTAGAATGATATATATAAATTAGGAATTGTAGGAATCAAGTTTTTGTGTTTTCACTACTGAGTAGCTTCTTTCTTTTGCAGGTCTTAATTCTAAATGTAACATGCCTGGGGTGGTGGGGAGGGGGACGTGTCACCAACTAAAGGATCCTTCTCTTTAGCACAGTATTTAATAGCAACATCATATGGTTGCCATTTGAAGTGCAGCGAGGTTCAAAGGCTACCTTCCATTGTGTGAGCGATGTGCAAAGACTGAACACTCAGACTCTTTACTAAATGCTTAGCCATTGCACAATATCCTGGAGCAGCAATTTGGCAAATGAAAGAATAAGGGCTGGGGATATAGCTCAATGATAGAGTACTTGCCTACCATGTGGAAGGCCCTGTGTTCAAATCCTCAGTACCACACACACAAAAAAAAGAGAGAAATAGGTCAGATAAAAAACACTTCCAAATATCATATTCTTTTTTTTTTGGTCAGGGAGGTGTAGATCTATAGAGGGAGCTTTTGCAAAGACCAGGTAGACAGTATGTGACCTTTACAATAATGGTCTTATACTGTATGTGCTAAGCAGTTCCGATGTACTTTCTGAGTTCCACATTTATAGTGTTGCAGAGCCACTTAACAGTGATGACCCATGTGACCAGTGGCTTTCATTAACCCAAAGACTGTCACAATGGATTGCTCTGAGAAATGGTTTTGAAGCACATTTCTGAAATGTACAATCCTATGGGTCCCGGCAATCTTTCTTTGAGGTATCATTTTACACTTAAGTTTTTCTTGGTAGAGTATTTTTCAAAGACTTCTCTTCTGAGGCTAAATTAGGAATTTCTATTCCTTATTCGAGTTCCAAGAACTGTGCCTTTCCTGCCCTCCGCCCAACTTGGAAGATAGAAACCGTGGGAAAGAGCGTCTTTACAAACTGCATTTAGTTATCTAACTTGGTTTATTTAGCATATTCAGGAAGACTTTTGCATTCATGGAACCCTATTTGTGTTCATTCTCTTCAAGGGTTTTTTTCCCTGGGTTCTGCAGGGTTGGGAAGAGGGCCAGGCCCAAGCTCTAGGTAGAGTTAATGTGGAAGGTTCAGATCAATTTTTCTCTTTCCAACATTTTCACCTCCTCAAATAGAAAAAGGGAGAAAGGGAAATAAGGAAACAAAGCGTTGTGGAAATTTATGTAATTGAGAGCATAAAGATCTGGAAGAATATGCATTCCAGCAGTTCTGTTCTAGGCACTGAAGAGTTGGCCCAATGAGATGGCTTCTAACCTTCATCCATCTCAGTCATGCCTGGGAAGGATGTTAGTGCTAATTTTAGACACTGAGACTAAGATGCACAAAGAACAAGTATCATAAAGCATTTTTGGAGCCAGGAACAGATTTAAATTCCTTGACTCATTGCTGCTCTTCCTCCAAACCACACAATTGTACCCAAGTGAATTGCCGTTAGAATTGGTGCCTTCAGAGGAGACAATTGCTCATAATTGGTAGCCATAAGCCACTTCACTGAGAAAGCGTGGGGTCTTAGATGCTTGAAAGAATAATTGACAGAGGCTTGAGTGAGTCAAGCACTTCTGAGTCACACAGCTTTGTTCTTGTTTTTCCCTGTCAGGAAGATGAAACCCAAGGCAGAGCCTGTCTACCAGACCAGAAGCCTTTCCCTCATAACCTACTTTCAACCAGTGTTGACCCAAGTGTGGTTATCAAACCACCTTTCCAGATTTCTTAGGGGCGAATTCCTAGGCTCCCTCCCTCCACCCAATCACTGCCACAAGAGGTAGTCCTATTTCAGAATGACTAGTTCCTAAAGATGGCAGATCATCTGTATCACTCAGAGTGATGTCTTAGTTTGAAACTATAAATCATGTAATTTTCTTTTGTTTTAATGGAAGAAGGGTCATATTATGCATTTTGTCCTACAGCTTGGTTCCTTCCACCCCAGCTTGTTTTTAACTTACAGAATATTAAAACAAACTTCCATACAAATCTATTCCCTTTTTTCTTTTCTTTTTTTGGTGCTGGGGATTGAACCCAGGGCCTTGTGCTTGTGAGAAACACTCTACCAACTGAGCTATATCCCAGCCCCTCTAGCCCATCTTTAAAGGGTAACAACTCATCTGCACACAGGGCCTAGACAAAGAGCATACACAAGCTAAGTTCAACAGTAAGTTTTCAATCCAGTGGAATCAGATGCTAATCCTGTCACTTAGGAATGTGGGTTAGGAGTTGCAAAATCTAAGTTTTCAAGAAAAGTACGAAATCTGAATTTCTTAAATGGGCAATCTCCAGATTGTTCAGTATTGGTAACTAATTAAAATTAAGTGCTAGATGAACCATCCAAAATGCTATCAGTGCTCTCAAGCCACCCTTTTGAAACCTCTATTGCTTGTATACATAATGTCCCACAGTGAAAATGTCATACTTATTTAACATTTCTTCTATTGTTGAACATTTAGCCATGACATTACAAATGTGACACTGAACATTCTTGTGGGAGGTGCCACGCTATGTGACCAGCATTTTCCTTCCCTGATTGGTTGAGGCTCTATCGGTTACTTCCCATGATCAGGACACACCAAAGTGGCCCCAGATAGCAACCCGGATCTTGGAAGTTGTAAAATGTCGCAAAATGTGTCTTCATGCGTAGGCCTGCCTTCTTATAGCCCCAGGGGTCAAATTACCTTACCTGTCCTTGTAACCTGCCCCCCTTGACCTTTTTTTGGATGGAAAAAAATGAGAGTCCCCCAATAAAAGCCCACTCCCAAACGTGCTAGTTCCCTCTCGCCAGCCTCTTGTGATATTCCTTGCTCTCCCATTTGGGGGGCTTGAGGCCAAGGGCAGAGGAGCTGTCCCAGGGCTTGAATTAAAGGTAAATTGTGTGTCTGTGTTTTATTTGGTACCTTAGGAAATTCACTCAAGCAACCCTTAGTTGGCTGCCTGCGCTGGCCAGGGGCACATTCTTATCTTTGAGTGTTTGTACACACAATTCTAGAAGTGGAGGCTGCCTTTTAAAATGTTCTAATTTACGGTCCTAGTAACGGGACATTAAGAGGGTCCTTTTCTGGGAAGCTTTAAAGTAACTCCCAAGATTCCCCAAAGATCAGATCCAGTAGGTCTGATAGGTGTATTTTTTTAAGCTCCCTGGTGATTCTGATAATCAGCAATCTTGGAACCACTGACTAGATTACTGAGGAGTTATTGGGGGCCAATTCCAGTGAATTATGAAAACTGTAAATACTTTCATTTGTACTTCTATGTTCAGACTTTCCCCTCTAACTACAGCCCTCTAAGATAACATGAAAATGGTTCTACTGCTACTATTTCAGTTCAGTCGGAGTTCAGGACAACAATCTTGGGAGCCTTCCAGTAGCTTTTATTGGCATAGCCTAGGAAAAGATGTAGGAGCCATTTCTGAGCAAAAATTTGTATCCCAGCAAGGTAGTCAGTGTTATGTTTAACACACCACTGAACCAGAAAGTTGAAGTCCCTGAAACAGACACAGCCAGGCACTAAGAGGCTCCAAAATCAATAGGCAAAGCCCTGCTGCTCTTTTAAGACCTAAAAGGCAAGAGCCAGTCCTGGATGTGTGGCTTGTTCTGGGATGACTAAAAAGGCAGAAACAGGATCAAGTTTTTAAGGTTTACTCTGTCCACTCCCCCACTGCTAGGAGGATGCATTGTAGCAGCAGCACCGAGTCTCCTCTCCACTGTGACTAAGCAGTTTCTGCTTAGAGTAAGTGGTGGTCATAAGACATGGTCATCAGGATGGTAGAGCTCACTCATCAGGCGATAGATGTACGACGGTGCGTTCCCACCGATGTTGGAGATAAACAGGGTAATGAGCTCAGGGGGAACGTAGTCAAACACAGGGCAGTGAACGCTGACCTTCTCCAGAATGTCCCCTGAAAGGCAATCACAACTGCTAAAGATAAAGCTGAGGCTCCTACTCTAAGAATTAAGTTGCATATGGAACCTAGGCTCAATAATGCAGGCATGTAAATACCTAGGAAGGGAAGTTGTGGCAAAGTAAAAACTGGAAGACAGGATTCCAGACCATAATTCTCCAGGTTTAAAACTGTCCAAATTGGAGAGTTTGAATTAAAATTCAAACTCGAGATTGCAACCTTCAAAATCTGTTCTCTCCACCCCACCACATTATGATTTGTACTCTCCCCGATGCTCACAAATTTCCAGCCATATGGCCATCTTTTTCCAGATGGGAAAGTATATTACCAATCTCAGGCTCCTGTACCAGTGCCTAGAAAACCCTTGCCCTGATCTTCACATGGCAGGTTCTATTCATTCAGTACCTGGTGGCAACATGATCTCATGAAGACCCTTGCCCAATCTCGTTAGTACCTTAGCCACTTTCTAAGACATCCTTTTGTTTTCTTCCTAAAGTATCCCAGGACCTGACATTTCTTGTCTGTTGTTCACACAGAGTGAAAGCTCTATGGAAACAGGGCCTTATTATTGTTATATCTGCTGTGCCTCATGACGGTGCTCAATATATATTTCTTAAAGAGTGGGTATTTAAATAAAGGGATGAAATTATTCAACTTCCAAAAATTAGGATACCACATATTATGCTTTGTGCTTAGAGAGTGTTTTGGGCCAGCTTAACTGCTTAGGAGGCAGCAGGTTCATTGAGCAGAGAAAAAGACCCTGATATACCAGGGCATCCAGGCTATAGGTGAGTTTTACCAGTAGGAACATTCCAGAGCTTGCTCCTTTGGCAGTCAGTTCACCAAAATGACTCCCTACAGCAAATGAACACAGGTAAAGTTTCCTTTGCAATTGTTTTCCTTTGCAATTGTTGCCTGTATTTCAAATCATGTGCAAAGCCAAACCCAGTTAATGCTGAGTGCTCCAACCAACCATAGCCCCAAGAACTCAGCTAACACATACTAGTCTAAGAACAAATTAAAAGGACTATCTCAGGTCCCTAAGCACTCTCAGCTGCTAAATATAAAGTCTTCACAAGAAGTATAATAAAAAAACACACCTTTCCAGTACTCAATCCTACTAACCACCCCAACAACAAAAAGACCAAACACAAACACACACACACACACACACACACACACACACACACACACACATACACTCCACTCTTCAGTACCTTCTGTGAAAGGCAGGACTTCTTCAGGAGCTACAAACTTGTGAAATGAATCTTCTTCATTGGGGAACTAGGAAGGAAAAAAAAAAATTTTAAAAGAGACCTAGCAATTCCACTCTTAATTTACCTAAGAGAATTGAAAATATATGCCCATACAGATGCTTAAAGTAGCATTATTTAAAAAGCCAAAAGGAACCATCTCAAATGCCCGTCCACAAATGAATGGATAAACTGTGGTGTACCCAATGGAATCTTTCCTTAAAAAGGAAATTCTGACATGCGTTACAACATGGATGAATCTTGAAAACATTCTGCTAAGTGAAAGAAGTCAGAAACAAAATGTCACATATTGTATGATTTCTTTGATATAAAAATATCCAAATTGGCAAATCCATAGTCAGAAAGCAGACTAGTGGTTAATAAAAGATGGGGAAAGAGGAATAGGGAGCAATGACTTAATGGGTACAGGGTGTTTTTCTGGGATGACAAAAAGTTGTAAAGCTAGAGAATGGTAATTGCACAATGCTGTGAATGTACTAAATGCCACTAAATTGTACATTTTAAAATGGCTAATTGTATGCTATGTGAATTTTATCTCAATTTAAAAATACAGAGACATATAAATAGGTTGTTTTCAATGCAAATAGTTTTTATCACTGACAAAATGGCTCTTTACTTAGCAACTGCTTGTATTCAGGCCATAAAGACAGGCCTTTATGACAATGAGGAATAGGACCAATTCTATGACCCTACTTTCAACCTGCTAGGCATTTTCAGAAATGATTGGGGCAATGATTGGGGGGGGGGTGTTAACTGTATGCACAAGGCCTTTCCTTAGTCCATATTGTCCTGACATTATAATTTTGACTTCTAAAACTGGCAGGATATAACTATCAATTGTGCTTTCTGGATCAAGACTTCTGTGACTCTTTCTATCCTCTACTGGGTCTAATCCATTGAGTAGAATGAGTAGGTTGAAATCCAAGTTCAAGCCTACATTCTGGCTTCCTTCTTTCTGTTGCCTACAAGCTAGAGTCATACCTGTGGGGAAAGCTTGAACATGGGTGCACAGACGATGAGTGGTGTGAAATGGTGCTTTGCTGCCAGTGCCAAAGTATGGGTTCCTGCCACAGCTCGCAGCGCACCATTAGCCAGGATGGTTTTTGTGCCAATGATCACCTTTGGGACAAGAAGAAAAATGTAAGCCATCTTGGGGGCCATTGGCCACCACAGGGTGAATGCTCAGGCCTCCATCTTGGCACCCTGAGAAATCACAGACCAGCAGATGGAAAGTGAGCCTAGGCTTAGTACTATAAAGTTCTGGCTTTCCCAAGGAAAGAATGAATGGAGCATGGAGCAGGAAACCACAATGCCTTCTGCTCTCTGCCCTGTCTCTTCTGGAATCTATCTGCCATACCTCTCGAGAAGCCAGAAGTCTTCTTTATTTACCATCTACTATTGCCAAGTTCTTTTGAGCCTAGGGCAGGAACCCTGTAGCCAATCCCTAACAGCTGACACTCCTAGCTTGATTCTACTTCTATTTTTTCAATTCTTTAACCAAATTTAGATGCTACTCCAAGTGAAGAACAGTGATGCAGATAAAAAGGAAAGAAAATCAGTTAATAGATTTAAAATGCCTAAGTATATACTTTCAAAGAGTTAACTAGAATCTTTCTTCTCTTACCATAAATATTAAGAGAAGGAAAAAATATCAGTATTTTAAAAATATAATCCTCATGAATTCAACAGTAACTTGAAAGATACCAACCTTGTTGACTCTTGACATAACAGCAAAAATAGCAGCATCAGTCATGACAGTAGTCTCAATACCTGCTTTGGACAAATTGACAGCCATTTCATGACCCTGCAATAGGAGGGAAAGGCTGATGCTGTGAGAGAAAGAAACAATGAAAAAGAGCTCTCAGATGTACCTGGACCTGCGGAATGCTGTGCTATAGGCATATCCAGCAGCCAATTTCCAAAAGATAACTCCCTTTTCTGCCTATGATGGGTATTCTCTTATGAACGGCAGGAAAGCTCAGGGAAAGCTAATAAATATATATTACTCCATAGCAGCACTAGAGTAGCCACAAAACTGGAAATACAACTTGCTTGCATAATGAAGCACAGCTGCCACAACAGCTCCTGGCTCATTCTTTTACAACATCCTGCATCCTTACATATTTATCTTTTTGAAACCTATTATTTACTTAAGGATTGGGTGAGATCAGTCCAAGCACCCATCATCCCCAAAGTAAATTACCCTCTTTTGATTCCTAAAAGAACCAGTTTATCTCTTCTTGGACCCAATAGTGTCACCCAACTTTCTTAAATTATAGATTGAAAATATTCACCAGATGAACAACTTGAAAATTCTGTTAATGTTTTACTTCCACCCATCCCTCCTTTATTCCCTCATTTTTCACTTTTCTTAGCAACTCTAACAGTCCCCCTACCTGGCAGAAAGGAGCACACTCTGCCACAATGACATGGAATTTCCTCTTTCGGGCAGCCTCTTTGAGGAAGGCCTCCACTGTTCTGGAGAAGCCAATGGTCATAATCACCTCATTGGAATGGATGTGCTCCAGAGCCTGGGCTGCAATGTTCTCCGTGGTGCCCTCTGCAAAAACATTTTTTTGTAAGGAAAATATGAAACCACTATGCCACATCACAGATATGACAACAGTATGACAAGGGATGTTTGCCCTTCACATAAACTGCCCACCTGGCAGAATCTAGTACCACAGGTTAATGGGCTTAAAATGAAATGTCACAATTTCTTAAAAGCTCCCCTCCTCTGGGATTTTCTACTTCCTAAGATCTTAGCCTGCATCCCTTTTCCAGCAGCATTCCTGCTCATCAACTTTCTCCCTGCCACAATGCTGGCTCTTACAATTGCTCTGAAGACAGTAAGCAATCTGGGGAACATGAAAGTGCTGACTGTGAGGTAAACAGCTTCTTCCTAAAAGAACTCTTTCTCCAAAAGGTGGCCACAACAACCTCTACCTGAGAGAGGGAAGCAAGAGAGAAATGGAGAAGGAATTTGGAAGCAGTAGTTTGGGCCACAGATAGAACCTAGTCTTTTTACCCTATGAGGAACTCTGTAATGAATATCTGTAGGTCTCCTGGATCATAAAGACAAGGTATATATGTATGAAGAAAAAAAATATATAAGAGAAAGTTTAGTAAGGGAGGGTGTAGCAAGTGTGGTTTTAGGAAGTTTATTTTCTTTGAAATGAAAATAAAGCCCTATCCTAATAGAGTCTTTGAGACAGAGGATTTGCAGCCTATAAAGGATTGGTCTGTCAGGAAAAGTAGGGAAGATTACTTTAGTCCTGCTGCCTATTCCACCCATTCCTAATCAAGGAACCAGAAGACGGGTCATCCTTCCCACTCTGCTGATGAACGACTTCCAGGGGCTTGCTTCTGTTTTCTCACCCCTTGCGACCTGTTGGGTCCACCCAGTGTTCAGACATCTTACCCAGCTCCACGAGCAGCTCATTAATCGCCTCAATTATGTTGGACTGAAGTTGGTCATAATGGACGCTGAAATCCTCGCTCAGGCCTCCGGATGTCAAGAGTTTGTGCAGGGACTCCTGCTGATCGCTCTCGTCACTGCGTCCGTGCAGTCTACGGGGGCAACAAGACCCAAATGGGGAGGAGGTATAGTCAAGTAAGCAACAGGTACTGCTCAGCAACAGTAGTTGCTCTAAGTATTCAGAGAGCACATGCAAAAAGTGTCACTGCGTCCAACCCAGAGCCCAGGCGGTGAGCCTGACCTGCCATACTCCTCCCGGATGATCTTGAGCACTCTCCGCACCATGTTGCCCACCGTGGTCTCCGAGGGCTGCGCGGCCGTCATCCTCCGGCCCTCTCTGCGGATCAACTCCATCAGCTCCCCTACATCCCGAGAGAGAGGGTGTGGGACAGAGCAGCTACAATGCTGCCTGGGTAACTTAGCCTAGGGATCGGGGACGTGAACCAGGCAGGTCTGCCTCACCTGCGTTACTCCAGCGGTGGTCCGTGATGATCCGGCGCAGCAGCCCCAGGGTCTCCCGAGCCATGTGCTCCGAGCTGCGCTGCCCACCACCCCGCTTTAGGGTCTCCACAAAGCTCTCGATCCTCTCGGACAACTCCGAGCCCTTCGCCGCGGCTCCCGGCATCTTGGTGACAGGCGGAATCCACACCTGGAAGACCCAGGGTTGCACTTCCGGAGCAGGAAAGGTCAATTTCCGCTCCAAGAAGAAAACTTCGGTTTGAGAGGCAGTAGGTACGCCCCTTTCGTCTGCTTGGGCCAATCAGAGACGTGGAGCTCTGGTAGTTCGCTTTCCACGGCGCGCCTCGGCCGGAAGTGTTTTTTCTGAGGGTTCTGAAACTGAGCTGGGGTGACCGGTCCCGCCTGAAGAGGCGGTGTGGCTGGGGAAGGCTACTCTGCTGCTATGGTAACGGCAAGCCTCTACGCTGGCTCTCAGCAACCCGAAGCCGCGCGGGAGAAGTCTCCGCCCTCCTTCCTGGCCCCGCAGCTCTATGACCGTCTGGTGTCCTGAATCAAACGCTGCAAGTGGGCGTCCAGGGCCTGCTGCTCCTTGGGAAGACGCCCCATTATAGTGTTGATTATTGCATGGTACTGATTGCTCCCGTCTCCCTAATGGATTCAATCTCGCGAAGACGGGACCGTTATCTATTTTGCCTTTATATTCCCGCGGCTTGGCACGTCTGATGGAAGAGAGAGGAATAGGGGATGAAGAGAGCCCGTTTACAAGGATTTCCTAATAGGAGCTAATACGGGAGCAAAGATGATGGCCTCCGATTTGGTAGACTTGCCGACCTATCCAGTATTAACAGCTACCATTTACTTCAGGCCTATCATGTAATGGGCACTGTGTGTGAATTGCCTCTTCTTCAGTCCGGTGAAATGGATATCTTATCCCATTTTACAAGGGAAACAGACCCACAATATTTAAGCAGTTAAGAAAGGGAGTAGTTCACACTTGTATCAGGTCTATCTGAACCCAAAATCTGTAATAGGAATCTCTATTTTTTTTTTCCTCCCTGTCCTGAGGATTGAATGCAGGAGCCTTTTTATTTTGAGACAGGATCTCGCTAAATTGCTGAGGCTGTCCTCATACTTTTGCAGTATCCTCCAGCCTCAGCCTCCTGAGTCACTGGTATTACCCGTATGCCGCCGCTCCCAGCTCGAATTATTTCCTTGAGATAAATTCCTCAAAGCCAAGTCTTTAGGCATACACATTTTCAAGGCTTTGACAAATTAGGCATACACATTTTCAAGGCTTTGACTATTGACAAATTATCCTCCAGAAAGATTTTACCAGTATCAAAATCAGCCAGAGCTGGGCACGGTGGCGTAAACCCGTAATCCCAGCGGCTTGAGAGGCTGAGGCAGGAGGATCACAAATTCAAAGCCAGCTTCAGCAAAGGTGGGACACTGAGCAACTCAATAAACCCTGTCTCTAAACAAAATACAAAATAGGGCTTCTAGGGATGTGAGTGCCCCTGAGTTAAATCCCCGGTACCCCCCCCCCCAAAAAAAAAAAAAAAAAAAAGGCAAAGATAGTACAAAAAAACTACAGACCAAAATCTGCAACAAATTTGTTGGCACATCAAATCCAGCAACACTAAAAATGAATAATACAGGGGCTGGGGCTGTAGCTCAGTTGTAAAGTTTTTGCCTCACATGTGTGAGGCACTGGGTTTGATCCTCAGCACCACATAAAAATAAAGATACTGTGTATTCATCTACAACTAAATAAATATTTTTTAAAAAAGAATAATACATATGTGTGAAGCAGAATTTAAACCTGAAATGCAAATCTGGTTCAACACTTCAAAATCAATCAATTTAAACACCATATTAACAATCTAAGAAGCAAAAGCACAAATTTATATCAATAGATGCAAAAAGAAACATTTGATAAAATTCAAGATCCTTTCATGATTAAAAACTAGAACACTCTGAATACAAGGGAACTTCTTCAATTGATAAGGAATGTTTACAAAATCATACACCTAAAATCATACTTTATGGTAAAAGACTTCTAAGATCAGGAACAAAGTAAAGAAGATATCTGTTCTAACCACTCCAATTTAATATTACCTCAAAATTCTGACCATTGCAATCAGGCAAGAAAAATAAAAAACAGCATTGTCTACATAGAAAAATGCTAAAGGATCAACAACAGCAATAGAAAAAGTTTAGCAAGGATACAAGGTCAGCACACAAAAATGAATCATATTTATATAATAGCAGTGAATAATTAGAAAACAATTGCTATAAAAAGTCATAGAATACCAGTTTTGTTGTGTGCAAATCTTAAAGTGTCTTTAAAATTGTTTTACTTTACATACTTGCTAGCGCTTACTACATTCTAGCCAATTTGGGGCTTTGTCATTCTTTTCCATATATCAACCCGTTAAAAATCAAAATATGAAGGGCTGGGGTTGTGGCACAGTGGCAGAGGGTTCAATCTTCAGTACTACATGAAAATGAAAAGGCAAAATAAGAAAAATAAAAAGATATTGTGTCCATGCATAACTAAAATATTTTTTAAAAATCAAAATATGAGCCGAGTCTGGTAATGCATGCCTGTAATTCCAGCAACTCAGGAGGATTACAAATTTGAGTCTAGCTTCGTCAACTTAGTGAGACCCTGTCTCAAAATTTAAAAAATTAAAAAAAAAAAAAAAGAGGTGAGGCTGTAGCTCAGTGGTAAAGTACTCCTAGACTCCCTCTCCAGTCCTTAGGGGATAAAAGTTTGAACATGACAACTTAGACCTTCACTGGGAAACAGGTATGGTTGGGGCCATGCAGGGCCAGAAAGAAGTGAGAACTGTCTTGAGACAGGGCTTCAAATGAATAAAAAGGCTAGGGATGTGGATCAGGGGCTAAGTGCCCCTGGGTTCAATCCCTGGTACCCAAAATATTTTTAAATAAATAAATATATTCTGCCAGTGTTTAACTTCACATGACAGGAGGGGAACAGAATTTCAAAACAACAAAATGAAAAAAAGTGTATTTTCATACATACAAAATAGTGTGTGTGTGTGTGTGTGTGTGTGTGTGTGTGTGTGTGTACACCAATCCCTCAAACTGAAATGTTCACTCATAGATACAGAAAGTAGATCAGTAACTGCCAGGGGCTGGGTAAAAGGTGAAAGTTTTGTTGAATTTCTAGTTAAAGTTAGAAGTTAACAGTTGTCGTTTTGTTTGTTTGTTTGTTTGTTTGTTTGTTTTGTTCTTTAAAGATGTTGATGGATCTTTATTTTATTCATTTATTTATATGTGGTGCTGAGAATTGAACCCAGTGCCTGGCACATGCTAGGCAAGCACTCTACCACTGAGCCACAACCCCAGACCCCAGAAGTAAGTTAATAGTTTTGTAAGATGGAAGGAGTTTTTTGTTTTTGTTGTTGTTGTTTGTGTTTATATATATTCTAGTTGTAGTTGGACACAATACTTTTATTTTATTTATTTATTTTTATATGAGATGCTGAGGATCGAACTCAGGGCTTTGAAATTGCTAAATGAGTGCTCTACTGCTGAGTCACAACCCTAGCCCCATTTGTTTTGTTTTTTAAGGATGGAAAGAGTTCTAGAGTTAGAGGGTAAATGATGTTTGTACATTTACATTGCACAGCATGCTGCTGAACTGTAAACAAAAAGTTTAAGGTGGTAAATTTTGTTTATTTTACTGCAATTTTAAAAATTATGTGGCATATTTTTAAAAATACAATAAATATTAACACTTCAATGTTGTGTTTCCTCTACCCCATTTCTCTGTCTTCTCCCATATATGAGGATAACTGATAAACTAAATTCTTACTGATATTTCATTGCTTTATTTTAAAAAATATACATTTGGGATCCTCAAACAACTTATTGTTTAGTTTTACTTGTTTATATATAGCATTTATAATGGAATTTTGTACAGCTTCCCTTTTTCATTGAAAATAACATTTCTAAAAATCATCCATGTCATTGCCTGTGTCTTTAGTTCTCTTCTTTGCACTGTTACGTAGTATTCCATTGTGTGATTATATCACAATTTATTCATTTTTCTTCAAGAGATTTGAGTTGCTTCCAGTGTTTTCGGGGGATGAGTGAGTATAAACTATGAGCATTCTTGTATATAGCTTGGTATAGCTTTAAGTGGAACAGCTGGATCCTAGGCTATATGAGTGTTTTTTAATTTCACAAATAGGTGAAGACCTATAATCCCAGTGACTCAGGACCAAGGCAAGGGGGTTGCAAGTTTGAGGCCAGCCTTAGTAACTTAGTGAGACACTGTCTCAAAAAAAGAAAGAAAGAAAAATGGTTGGGAATGTAGTTCAGTGACAATGTATCAGTGTGTTTAATACCCAATACCAGAAGGAGAAGGAAGGAAGGAAGAAAGAAAAAGAAAATTAAGTCTAGGCTTTAAAGTGGTTAAATTAATGCGTACTCCTCCAGCAGTATTTAGATCCTTATGAGCACACAGTATTTTCAGTTATCATTTTGGAGAGTCGGGTAGGCATAAAAGGATATTGCATGTTTCTTTTGGGTTTTTTTGGTTTTTTGCTTTTTGGAGACTGAGTTTCTCCATGTAGCCCGAGCTGGACTTGAACTCAAACTCAAGTGATTCTCTCACCTCGGCCTCCTGAATAGCTGGAACTATAGGCACATAGCACCTAGCTGGTTTTCATTGTTCTTTTAATTTGGATTTTCCTGATTATTACTTTACAGTAGTGGTAGATTAACAGTTATTAATTAACAGTTATTATAATCTGTTGTTATTCTTTTTTCGCCACTTTTTTTAGCCATGTGTTCTTTGTGAAATTTCGGTGCCTTTGCCTACTGTGATGGTTTGGATATGATTTGAAGTGTACCTCAAAATGTGTTGGAAGCTTAGACCTTAGTGAGGTGATAGTGAAGTTTAGATATTGGGGACTTTAAAGGTGGGGCCTAGTGGGAGGTTCTTAGGTCACTGAGGACACTGCCCTTGGAAGGAATTAAGGAAGTTCTCATGGAACCCCTTGGGTAGTTCTCCTGAAAGTTTTATTACCAATGGAGCAAGACTGGTGGTCCCTCTCCCTCTCTGGCTTCCTGTTTCAAAATGTGATCTCTTGGGCTGGGGTTGTGGCTCAATGGCAGAGCACTTGCCTAGCATGTGTGAAGCACTGGGTTCGATTCTCAGCACACATATCAATATATAAAATAAAGGTCCATTGACAACTAAAAAAATACTTAAAA